TTCGAGCCTCGATAACTCGAATCTTAAGGGAAATAAAAATAAATCCTAGTTGTGTATTTTTCGAGTTGTAAACCTCAAACACAACTAACAAACTCTTCAAGGGGCAAGAAAAAATTCGGGTTATCGAGACTCTATTATAAATATAAAATTATAAATTAAGATAAATTAAGTGAAAAAGAAATCATTACTCAAAGCACCAATATTAGTATAGTTATGGACAATGAAATAATGCTAAATATAATACATAATACAGCATTGTTATCAACGAGTAATTATTTGAAAGTAATACATATATTAAACTATAAATTATGTAATGTCGGGAAGCGCAGTTATTTTTTTTTATTTGCGCTAAAATCAAACAGCGTTTAAATGCAGGTGTCATAATATTAATTAAATATTGGCTACGCTTATAATAATATTACAGTCTACGCCCGTAATACCTGTATAATGTTTTACTAAGCGTAAACCACCCGCTGGCCACCGGATAGGTTAAAATTTTAATAATAATAATATATATCAATGTAAATAATCCAATACAGACGTAGTAAAAATTAGACACGAGTGATCGTTTCAAGACAACACGTCTGCATGGTGTGCACTTATATATAATAATATGCACAGGTTGTATACACGCAGACACGCTTCTATATTAATGGGTAGATGTGAAAGACGTTTGTCGTTGGAATTATCATAATATTATTTAATTTCGTTTACGTGTCGATGGTGCTCGCTCGTGTCGGTTATTATTAATATTCATGAACGACGTTTACGAAGCGAGCGTTCACAGTGTGGGGCGGAGGAGTATGATATACGGACAGGTGTACATTTTTATTATTTCTACACCATATTTTACATTATAGATACCTATACGACGTATAAATGTAACACAATTCGTTATAATATTATTATTATATTACGCGTTTTACGTGTTTATGATCCAGCAGGCCTCCGAGTCGAGCAGACTACCGCTAAACGGTATTATAATATGTATAGGCGGCACGAGCCTATAACATATAACATAATATTACACATAGGTAGGTACTATAGGTACTCGAAATGCGTGTTTTTAATGTCCGATAAAAAAAAATGAATAATTAACACCTGCCATTTATAGTGTTTAATAATTAGAGCTGCAGAGGGTTACGGATAATCGTGTTTATAGCTTTAAAACCCTACCACTCGCAAAATGCCTACAACTCCTCCCATGTAATAATGTTACAGATACCTACCACCGCGGCCACTGCCCTTCAATAAACACGGCGAAATTGATTGTAAAAATGTTCCGAAGTAATCGGCGTTTATAGTATTAATTCCTATATATATATATATTAAATTCCCACACTACCCAACCCTCTAAATAGTAAATACTGTACTAATTATATACATAAGTATGTGTTTCTCTGCAGTTTATGTACATTATGTAATATATGGAATACAACGGCAGCGAGTATTACGCAGGTATTATTATTATGTTATTTTTTGTTTAAATATAATATATATATATATATTACGGGGGACGTATTATTACCCCCATACTTGAGAGAGTAAAAACGTGAGTATGTTTCGGAGGGGGGGGGGGAAATAAATATTGTACACAGCAGTACCGTGCGTACCTAATGAAGAGATATATTAGTACATATATATTGAGAGGAAAAACGAACGGTTGGGAAAAAAAGAGAATAAATAAATCCTACTCCGGTTTTGGGGCTTGTAGTGGGAAACCAAGAGGGTTGTTTAATACCGCGCCCTCGGAAAAGCAACGCTACTACAACGACGAAACAATAACGTTACAACATCATACATATAATATTATTGAACCCGAGGGATTTGGCCGGTTGTAGGTATATGTATTTTATGTGTGCCCTCGCCGTCGAACGGTTTGCCAACCATTATGTTAAACAAAATATGTGTTTGTTTTTAATGCAATAAATGCGAATTACTGGATATTTGCTCTGTGTTTGTTTAGAGAGGTATAAACGGGTTTTACGGTTTTCCAAACAACTAATCAGCTTAAACGCTTGTACGAACGATCGCTGCCGCCGTCATTGCTGAGTCAAAATGGGGAGAGGGAGAGAGAGAGAGAGAGAGAGAGAGAGAGAGAGAACGAGAGAGAAAATAAATAAAATAGAGACACGGTCGGCGGCGGTGACTGCAATTTGTCAAAGATCTAAAAAATAAAAATAAACAAACGATTAATAATACACGCAGCAGCCGGGTGCAGGATAGGGTGACGAGTCGAAATGGACTTGAAACACAAGCTACTACAGCTCATCTCATGTTTGTGTATAAAAGGTTATGTGTTATACGAAATTATTTCTTCATTTAGGCACAATATACGCATTAAGGTCGTTGTTTCATAGTTGAACGTCAAACTTAAATCATTTCACGTATGCTTTCAGAGAACGTACAATATTATATTATGTATAAAATATAAATATTTTATAATAATATTGTATGGTCATATAATAATTTAACGTTTCAGCTTTGTACCATATCTATTACAATATTTATGATCTTGATTACGTTTTTTAATTTATTATTCGAATTTATAAAACATAAAAAATTATCAAATTTGGTTGTATTCCTTGATGACACTTTCTACATTGTAAATATAATTTGTGTACCTACCTATAGGAGTGGAATAGTATTACTGAAGAGTGAAGGTTAACTAGATTTGCATATAATAATACTTTTGGTTAAACCTGGTGAAACTGATATGGACAATAGACAAATTGAATCCCGTGTTTGTACAAAAGCGTTTTATTTGACAAGTCAAGTTCAGTAGATCGAATAAATGGATAAGGATTTGTTCTACTCTTTCAATATTTGATTAAAAATTCAAAAACTCAACAAGCAGATTTATTATATATTTTTATGTTGTAATTTATTAAATAACTTTATATGGCTAATGCTCACTAGGTATGAGATGTTGTTAACGAGAAAGCATCGCTATACAATTTTTTACATAATATTATTATTTTTCAATTTTGTTTAATTCCTTATAGTTTTTGGTTCACGTTTTTATATTAAGAAGGTACTACTAGCCTATGTAGGGTATACCTACTACACATTTATGATAATATCGTTTTTTAGTTAAACGCATCTGTTATTTTTTAATACAATTATTAAAATATACTAATTAAATAATTGATCAACCAAATTATCTTTTATAATATACAATAATAAATAATAATACAATAACGTGTTCTTTATAATATAAACATGAATTATAATCATTGAATCATATAAATAAATATTCTGTGGCTTGGTGAGGCGAGGTATTTTAACGTGTTCCGAGGCATCGACCGGTGTCACTAAATCCCCGATGGGTGACCAACAGTGGTTTTATTGACAATTCTTCGCCACATATACGCGTGTTCTAACCAACCGTAAACTCCCTACAGTACTAAAACCTACCAAGTAACTCAGGCTTATGACGTCAAATGTTGAAACCTTAACTCAATAAATAAAAAAATATGCTATTATAATTTGTTCACGGTATAACGAAGTTCAATTGTATTAACAATATTACAACTCATCATATACTAGTTAATACTATACATCAATTATCAGTTTATAAGTATTAGTGTTATTTACCACTATAATGTAGTGTGCAGTGTATAAATCATCTGTTAGTTTTCAGTTTCATTTCAATAATATTATTTTGAACGTGAATAGCACGAGTTTAAGAAATTTACATTTAAGAACTTAGTTTATCTAATACCTGCAGTGGTAGATAGATATTTAACAATGCCTCTGGCAACGATTTTCTCGTATAGTAGACTATCATCAATATTTTAATATTCAATCGATAAATTTAAGTATTATTTAAACAACATATTATATCAGGTTCAATATTCATGGTAATTATGGTAATAAATAATAATTATTATAAATTATAATCCTATTATGCGTACAATAATAATATCGTCCAATTCTTTATAAGCAAAATACATACATGCGTGTCTCGTGCACATGAATAAATACCATTATATTGAAAGTATTGATATCTTTGCAGTACATTTAAACTAAATCATATTGATTTCCTTTTATTTACTCGTGGAACCATGGTTGTCCAAAATTAAATTCTCTGATCACAATTATATACATAATATAATATAACTTATATACCTAACTATAAAAATATATATACAACATAAGACTATATTAGTATATTATATGGAAATCATTGTTAATATTTAATAGGCATCGTTCAACAACAATAAATTCGAACTAAAAGTATTTTTGGTTTTGTAATTCGGAACATTTGATCGTAGACTTTATGCACCTAAGTATATGTTATACTCATCCACGTTTATACATAACTGTTAATAACTATATTGTACACTGTCGTCAGAATGCAGTTGTTATCATCTCTCGATTCCGGGGGATGAATGGCAGCAGTGAGCCAACAACGTGTACCCAAACCTCAACTTACATCGGCCCCGAACAGCATGTCGTTTTCCGTCTGTGAGAAATCGCGGCTCCGTACAGCGTTTTGACGCAGTTGGTGTTCGGGAAATACGTTTTAATGATAGGTAAACTATTGTCATCGTCGTCGTCGGGCCCGCGCGGTGCTCCTCGCGGGAGCGCGCAATCGATACGCGCGCGCCGGGTCCGCCGAGCGCGCGCTCGCCCGAGCTCCGAACGGCCGACGTATAGTCGAGCGACGGCGGACGGCGAGCGGCGACGTCGTCTCCGGGCAGAAGTGTGGGCGGCGGCAGCGCGGGGGGGTCCCCGGTTCTGCGAGGGGGGACGCGGAGGGGGCGTGGTCCATATTTCCCGTACACTCCTCCCACTCTACACTCTACAGCATCACTCGCACACAAGAGCACGCGGACGCGCGTGCGTACGTGAGTGTACGCGTGAGTACGAGTGTGTGTGCACGCGGGCGCGCGCGCGCGTGTTTACCGTCGACGGCGCTCCCTCCCCTCCCCTCACCCCGCCCGCGATCGCGTCCACCCACTATACGCATGATATTATTATTATTATTATTATTATTATTATTATTATTGTTACTATTATATTATATCCGTCGCCGACCGCGTTTTTTTTCGCCGTTTTTCGTACCCGCTCGCCCTACTGTACACACGACGACGGCGATCGCGACGCGCCGTCGCGGCCTGCGCCTGGGCCGACGCTGCCACCGCCGCCGCCGCCGCCGGGTTTCCCGTCGCCCGCGTCATACCCGTATTATACGGCGTACGCGCGCGAGCGTTATCTGATGATTCGCGTTTCTCTCTGTGAACCGCCGCCGCCGCTGCCGCCGCCAATAATATATCCTCGTGGTGTGGGTGCCGCCGACGGTATTCACATTTTCTGCTTCGCTGCAGTGACCGTCTCCGCAGCTGCCGTCTCGGCCATCGCTCTCTCCGCCACCGCGAGTACCTGATACCATAAATATTATGTTATTATTACCGTTACCGTAATACCGCATTCGCGGCCCGTCCGAGTGCGCGTTGGCCGACCACGAAAACATATATTACTATTTGATATTTGTACGCTGCAAAGTCGACGTCCGTCGTCGCCGTGGTCGTCGTCGCGGCCGCAGCAGCCGTCTCCATAGTAGTCTGTACAGTGCGAATCGTGCGCGCGCGCACAGTCCGTCGTCGTAGGTGGATGAGCGCGCACGGACGGCGCGTATTCCCGCCGCCGCCGCCGCATTGACAAACAAACAAGGATACCGTGGTAATATATCATATTATTATTATTATTATTATTATTAATACCATCAAACCGTGCCTACTATAAAGGCGCATTCACAGCAGCTACGCCGTGTGTCACGCCGTGTTGATCAAATCGCATTTTGATTGGATGTTAATTTTTCGGTATCGTGTAGTAACCAAGTCGCAACCGAGTATACCAAGATTTGACTTCAGCTCAACTTGTAAACCATATTGGTTACCAGTTATAACCATATAGTTACCACGAACTCGCACGACAGGACACACGACGCAGCTGTGAATCCGGCTTAATTTCGTATCATTATTATTATTTGGCTTGCACGTTTTTCTCCATACCCTGACGGGACCTAGGCAGGGACCTAGATGGTAGGGTCTCCGTGAATCCTAGAGCATTACCACGTCATCCTGTTTGGTTTGGGTCCTCGATGTCTTGTCGTGTCGTAGTGGTTATGATGTGTTATAAATTGTAATATATTATACTGGGGATCTTGCTGGAATCGTAAATGTTTTCAAGTTATACCAACACGGTACTTACAGCGTTATCACCTTTCACATTGGTATATAAACTATTATGTAAATGTTATACATTAGTGTTTTCGTGGTAGACTTTATAGCAAACAACTATAATAGGTACACTGCAAAGATACCGCGGTAGGTACTATTATAAATTATAATATTAATATCATCAAACTATATTATCTGTACTACTGTATCATTAGGTACCGACATATTAGAATAAAGGTAATGTTAACGTTGTGACTCAGTGTTTGTACTGAAAATTTCGTTTTTGTGTTTAAGATTTCGATTTTCCTCCATCGCTGTAAGTATTATAATAACGGCGTGTGTCACTATACCCCGAGGTGTGCAATTTCGGGGATCTAGGTGGCATATTTATCCCCGTGAATCCTTCAGAATTTTTATGTCGGTGGTCCTCGATGTACTGTCTTATCGTAGTCGTTATGATATGTTATGAATTATAATATATTATACTGGGCATCCTGTCTGTTACGTAAATGTTTTCAAGTAATACCTATATGGTACTTACCGCGTTACTACTTTTCACCTAGGTATGTATACTATTAAAATAGTATTATGTAAATATTATTCATGGGTATTTTCGTTATAGACTTTATACCGTATAATGAGGATACCGTGGTATTATTAATGTCATCAAACTGTATCAACTGCTCTATATCATTACATGTTTGAGAATAGATAATGTTAACGTCATGGTTCGGTGGTTGTACGGGAATTTTCGTTCTGGTGTTTAAAATTTCGATTTTTCTCCATGTCACACATATTATTTTATATTACTTTAAGTGCTTATAATTTCCTATGTGTGTTTAATATCTGGTGATTAAATTAAAAATTATATATACTGTAATGTTTAAAATTATTATTAATATATCCAGAATAAATCGGGTTTGATATCCCGTCAATGAAATAAGAAAACATATTCCATAAGTACAATAAGTTATTAGAAATTTGTAATGACACAGGTATTATTTAATACTTTTAACTGTCTAATTCTGTTTTAATATCTCTAGGACATTTAGGTTTGGTTTATAATTTATATAATCCGTTAATGCGAGTATAAATACATTTTTTAATCAATCATTTTAGGTACTAAATTAATTACAATTTTTGAACCACTATTATTCCAAAAGTAGAGATATAATTCTGAAATGATCACAAAAAACTGATTTAATAACTAAAAACTAAAAAAAAAAGGTCAATTTATTCAGTTAAGACCATATTGTATCGTGTATAGTTTAAACGCTTGAGGAACTAAGACGTAACTATAGTACCATACATAGGTACCTACCCTGATCTAACGAATTTTAAATGTCTGAATTATATGGTATTTATGTATTTTTAAAATCTCACATAATATGTTGATATACATTATAACTAATATAACTAATTAATACATTATTACAACTAATCGAGGAATTCGTTTTTGTTAAAAATAATAATATTATATTGTATTTAACTAGAAATTTAATATAGAAATCACACTTAATGCACCTATGTATATTGTACAGATTTAATACTTTGTAGATTTTTTTGAAAACAGATTTCTTTTTTGGATTGATTAGTGTGTGATTGTAATATAATGTAATAAACAAAAATTTATTATTTTATCATTCATTCATTTACTTGTATCAAACGGCTGTATATAGTTATAATCATACCTAAGTTAGAAGAATTATTAAAATTATAGGTGGTTATTAAACTAACATTTTATTTTAACTTAATTTTTAATTATTTCAAACAGGCTATACATATTTGCCACGAATGTTTTATAATGCTATATGCATAAACTATACAGTATAGGTTGTAAGATAGCCAGGTATATTATTCCAAACACAGTAGATGAACATTTTAAATTTTTAAAAATTTGAATGATTTTATAAAACAGTATAATATAATGAGATATTGTATATTTTAAATATCATACAAGCAGTAAATGTTATACTACTACGTGTGTGGTTGAAGAATTCGTTCAATAGCGATTGTTAATATTTCAGTCTGTACTTTTTGTTGTAGTTGATAGTTTTGATACACTGCAGTCAATAAACAATAATAAATAACTTTTTAATTGATGTAATATTTTGTGAATCAAATACGATGAACTGAAACATATTGAATTTTCACCCCCTCTGCACGCTATATTATTCACGGATGATTAGACTTTATACGAAGAACAAATCTGCATCACGAATAATATAGAATTACCACAGTATTCTCTCTATAAATAAAAGTCTCCCTCACCCTAACCAGATTATATATACTTATACTAAAACATATTTTTTTGTTTGAAAAACTACCATATTACTTTATACTTGACGTGCTTTTAACAGGGCGGATTCACCACGCCCTTTCTACACTATATTATACACATTATTCATTTGACCAAATTTTTTTCTTCTATCTGAGTTATAGAAGAAGAATATTTATTGAAATCATTAGTTTTATCATGAATAAGAAAAATAAATAACTTTTCTTAAGACCTATACATATGTATAAGGTTATAAAAAACAAACGATTTTTATCTAAAACAATGAAAAATAAAATTAGATTAATTTTTAGATGTTCATCAAATATTACGAAATGTTTATAAATTATAGTTTATTTTAAATATATTTTAGTTTATTTCCAATATAACAGTATAACAATAAATTATTAAATGGAAGTAGGTAGTAGATTATTATTGGATACTGATATAAGTGATAGCTGATAAGTTTAATACATTACAAAAATATATCATGTGTTTATGTACAGTAATTGTATACCTAGGTACATATATATACCTACATATACAATAAAATAATAATAGATATAATAATATGTGTATAATAATATTTTTGTATTTCAAAGTTAATATTATATACGCCCTATTATTTAAATTACTACTTAATCTGGTTGATTTTAGTTAACAACCAAGGTTTAAAAATAATGTAATGAATTAAAAAACGATTATAATGCAATTCTTTGTATTTTCTTAAGTTTAGTCACATGTAAAATATCTATGCAGATGTTCATGTTTATTATAGTCTACATTTTTAAACACAAAAATAAATATTCAATCAAGATTATAATAAATCATCAGATGTTGAGATTATACACCATTTGAAATATTTTACCCAGACAAATATTTTAATTTGATAAAGGCCAACTTTTTTTTTAAAATAATATTACGCACACACATACACACCTATATGTATAAATTGTATATAATATAATATACATCATAAATATATAAAAATAATAAATTATGCTCTTTTAATGAGAATAAATTGACAATCGCATGATTAAGTACAGATTGTTTTTAAATATTTATATCCAAAAATTAATAATACAATAAATTAAATATTATGTTTTTTATAATACTTAAAGATGTTTCTTTTTATTTGATTTAAGCAGTAATTATGATTCGTAAATATGTTGATCATAATTCATAATAATTATTAATATCAATGATACCGTGTTACAGTATTACTGCAGGGTTACAAGGTTAAGCCCCCCCCCCCCATCAAAACTTGAACAATACTTCTTCTTTTTTATAATATTTAAAAGTCTAATGTCGAGTTGCATTAAAATTGACTATTTAAATCGTTCACTTAAATTGAATGGACCAATTATAGGCAATTAAATTGTACTTAAGGGATCATTGAATCACTATTGGTTCATTATATGCGTTAAGTAATTGTATTGCTACCCAGCATTAAAATTTAGAACAATAACATAGCTAAATATGGACAATTTTAAATACATATTAATTTTATGATATATGATACTGAAATATTATTGTATTATTGCAGTTATTCCTTCATTTTCTTTTCTCAAATGCTTATATAGGTATGTATTAAGTTAAAAGTATTGTTTACTTTTCCATATAATTAAGACTACGTGTTGCGATGCTATCGTGGTAGATCACGTACATCCTGACCAGTGATACATGACCACTATACTTGGTTCAAATAACCCATATTAGGGTTTAAATTGGTGAATTAGTCGTCATATTATGGAATATCATATAAAAAAATCATGTACAAATTATACAAGTTACTGTGTGGCCAATCGTTTAATATAGCATAAAAAAAATATAAGTGCTTACTATGCGGATGGTGGATATCAATTACCTCTATAGTAGTTAGAACATTTTGATATAACTAGTATAATAAAAAAAATACATCGATATACGATGATATTATATATAGGTACTAATAAAATTGTCTACCTTACAATGTTGAATGAAACAAGTTTTATTTTTGGTGAAGTATTTAAATTATTACTATTTTGATTGTTTTATGGTCATGATTAAAAATGTATTAATATTATAAATTATCTTTATAGACCATCAGTTGATACTATCAGTTTCTAAGTTGTCTCAACTAGCTATATAATTGCGTATAAAATAGTGAGTAAAATTAACCCATGTAAATAATAATATTAAGTAGGAACAAACCGATTAAAATTGTTATTGATTATTAAAAATAAAGACTGTTTCATTCTCAAATAAAACTTAAATTAACAACAAAAAGCATTAACAGTATTATGTATACAACGATTCGTGATTCGTGTGCCATTAATTATTTTACTCCTAAGTAATCCTAGAAAAAAAATTATAATGCATGTGCCAGATCAGGATAATTTGTTGTTAATATCTCTACTGCGAGTTGATATAGTAATTAAAAACAATGATTGTGTTGTTGTATATATAAAGTTTTGATTACGATTTCCATAACTATTATATTGGATGCATATTTTGTTATTGTTATCGAAGATGGTTGGGTTAGGTTAGGCACTTGTCGATTGTCCGAATACGGAGGAATGTGATTTCAATGATTTAAACAGTGCAGAACAAATCCGATGCAAAACGTTTCGCAGACTTCCGTTTAACATTTTTGAGGCCGAGCCGAGGCTCTGAATAACAATAATATGGCCACCGCTTTTCGGGTGACTTTGACATTTTGTGACCCAAAAATCCGGTTATGATAGATGAAGAGGGGAAAGCAGCGTGCGTCATCAAATTTACTTTATTATTTTTTTTTTGTCCGGCCACCTCCTCCGACCATCCTCGTAGAATTTTTTCCACATAAAACGTACATGCTACAGATAGATTTTTACTGTGCGACGAATTTTCCAAATAAGTCGAAACCGGTCGTCCCGCAGGAATCCCGACCGTATTGCAACAATGGCTTTTATTGGCTAAGACAGGTTCTCTCTGTGCTCGGTATATATACCGAGCGGTCATTTCACCTGCGAAGTATTTTTATTATATTATGTGTGTGAGTTTGTGTGTTTGTGTGTGTGTGTGTGTGTGCAAGTGAGCGCGCGCGCGCGAGCGTTTTTATTTTTTTATAATACTCCACTATAACAAAACGCGCCGCCTCGCCAAAGTCGGATATATATTTTTATATGTATAAATGGAAATCATAAAAAAAAAAAAAATAGCGCTTGCCGAGAGAAAAATAAACAACTGCAGCAGAATTATAAATTGTGGCAATTTACCGGTACCACCGCAAAAGTATTATTATCATGTGTGTACGATACGATTGCATCGATGAGGACAACGGTACTTGATGTAAAAGATAAAGAAACGGACCTATATAAATAATATTGCGCACACAAGGGTCTTATAATAAATTATCTTGAATATTATTGTGTGTTGTGTATTGAGAAACAGAATGATGAAATATCTTCTGTTTAAAATAATAAATTATTTTCTGTTTTTTGTACCTGGGTATACATAGATACACCCATGACAAAATAGATAGGTATTATCATAGTTGTAATAATTTTTGTCAGTAAGCGCATCTCCTTTACCTCCGACCCATGTATCAAAGTTCTCTACTTCTGATTAGGTAATTGATTTTTTTTCTATATTATACATGTATGTATATGATTGAGAGCCAATAAGAAGTGGAGAATTACGAAATATGGGTGAAGTGAAGAGCGGGGAATAAGTATCAAACAACTGTGATGATACCTATCTATTTTGTCATGGCTATAAGTACGAATAATATATTTATTTGTGATTACACACCATATTATAAAAATATAAACAATTTCGATTGTGATAGCGTATAAGTGAATAAAATATTATTTCTTCACTTGTTTAAAAGTCATCTTTGATCAGACGATACAGGTTAAAGCACGTTATAGTAGACCATATAACGGTCATCATTAGACAACATTTTCGGATGAAATTAATTGTGGTTCAATATTTTAATATCCATGCCGATTTGCAGCTATTGTACCTAACGTTGTATCTATGTCAGCGGCATTATCTGTACTCTACAAATTACAATACATAAACATATCGCAATAGAAGCGAAAAATTTGAACAATATAAAATATTTTATATAATTATTGTATACTAACATTTAAATTAAATATCAAAATCGTAATATCAGGAACCGTATCATCTCCAAGAGTAACCCAGAAACTATTTTCAAGACGTACACACTTGCAAGGATTGCAGGTATACAAATGAAATTTTTTGACTTTTGATAAGTAAAAGGTTTTACTAATTTAAATTTTAAAATGTATAAAGTTATTGCTATTTTATGATTTTTATATAGTTGCACACTACCGATTTAATAGTTTTCTTAATTGTAATAAATAGATTTTAAACATAATTTTTCTTTTTTTCTTTCGATTTAAAGTATCTTTTTCACATTTTTACTGATTTAATCTTGATTTTTACGTTTACGAGAAACGATCGTCGTTAGCACACTCTATATGTGTCGTGGAACACATGTGAAATGGGCTAACAAAATGGATATTGTTATTAATTACCTATTAAAATATATACATCATAAATTATAATAGGCTATCGATGAGGCAATGAACAATATTATGAATCCTAGTGGTAATTGTTGAATACTAAATTTTAATTACTTTTAGTTTACAATTCATTAAATCAATTTGTGTAGTTACCTATAAATATTATAAAATTGTTATTATTTTGATAAAAAATATCGATTTTAATTATTGTGAATTCTAATATAAACCTTGAATGTCATTAAAAAAATTTGTTTCTTAAAAGATTTATATCGATTTTGAAATCGATTTCAATCAATGTAAACCATTGAATTATCGAATAGAAAACGCGTTCTTATAGGAGCAAAAAAAATCATCTCTATTCCATTCATAGTGTTTTTGCGTGGCCATTAACGGTGTTATTTATAGTCGGTCTCAGTGGTTTTTAAAACTAACAGGTTCTTGCTTGGAGGAGGGGGGGACAAGAAACACTATACCGTAATGTCAAATTACTATAACGCCCCGACACACGATGGAAGGACGATAATTAATTTTTTTTTATAAGTTGCAGTTATAATTTTTTTAAACACTTTTTACGAAATGATACGTGTAATTAGAGGAAGGTCTAGCAATTGGTGTTACAGTTTTTTTGAATCGTGGCCAGAAAAGAGCACGAATTGGTGGGTGTCAAGAGAGTGGGAGGATAGGGACAAAAAAAACCATTTGAAGATCTAGATTAAATAACCCGTCACTGTCAGAGCTCTAATTAAAAGAGATGTAAAAAAAACATGTTTGTTATACATACATAACTTTTACTGCTCAAGTGATGTGTATACTCAAAAAGAAAATAATTTATTAAACCGACCAAAAAGAGAAAACATCATTAAATATTAGTGAATTCTGTCAATCAATGATGTATATTTCATGAGTTTATTACAAAACGTCGACGATTGTTTGTACACGATTTTATAACTATTATTGTTCATTATTAGTGTATAATAATATATTATTATCTATATACCTAATTATAATACTATTATAAAAAGACGTATTTTTGTTTTATTATTTTTTTGTGTAGGTTTCAAAAAATGGCAAACCGTGTTTGAATATAATTAACAATTTACACGGCCGCCAATTCAATCGATGGTGATATTTTTTCATTGCTTTCTGTATAATTTAATAATTTTGGATGTTATAGCTTTTTTTATACTAAGCAATTCTAATTTTGGAATCGAGCCATTCCGACTAAACCGTTTTACTTGATTAAATAGGTACTAACGACTCAAACAAATTGATGAGTAAATCGCGTATTATAGAATGCACTTTTCTAGTTTAAATATAAACACTTATGTTTAATCAACTTCAACGTCGTGACAAGTGTTCGTACTCATTATGAAAATTGGCAATTACAACAAGATTGTCTCTTTTAATAGTCACTAGTTTACCTAACATTTCGAACAAAACATTTTACAAACCCGAAAAATTATACCATGTGTTTGAGTCAAATCGTCTGAACCAGGGATGTTTAACTTTCTGGGATTCGTGGGGCACACGAAGAGTGTAAAAGTTGTCACGAGCCACATTTTCCATAATACAAGTATATAGGTTATAGATATATCTCATAAGAGCAAAAAGCAATAAAATATTATCCTTTTCAATAAAACATATGTTTATAAATTATATAATTACAATATACGTATACTAATATACACCCTCTATGAGTTTTATTTTTGATATGTTTCAATCTATGTATAGTAGTACTCAGTATAATATTTTTTTCTCAGAATCATAATTTATACAGATAGGTTACAAATAGGTGATAAATGGTTTTGAAATTGTCGGGTACTGTGAGTCGGAAACGCCTGGTCCCGGCGGCGTGCTCGGAATCCGTTCCGATTTAGTAAAATATCAGACAAAACCCGAGACGTTTATCATGAAGCATATGGGAATATTAATTGTAAATTATTTACCCATGTACTATATGTTACAGGTCATGTTCTGTACGTGGATATGCTGAAGGATATTCACAGTCCAGGATTGGCTGCCGATCCGGAGGACGGCAGCAACGGAGCTTGTTGCGCCGGTTGCGGTAGATCGATAGACGACCGTTTCTACCTGTCCGCTGTGGATATGTGTTGGCACATAGGGTGTTTGCAATGTGCCGAATGTAAACTGCCACTGGACACGGAACTTACGTGTTACTCTAGGCACGGCAACATCTACTGCAAACAAGACTATTACAGGTATTTTTTAGAATTTTTTATCTTAGCAAACAATTATGTAGGCATGCCTACTGGCTACTGGGAGAAAGAAAAATAACATAATTGCATACCAGTTCAAAATAAATGAATTTGTTCGAGACTGTACTGGTATACATATTATATTGTAGTGAGACGGACAAAGACTTAGGATGTAAATGCCTGAAGTGCATTCATTATGTTTAAAATGACATAACTATACTCGTACACGAGTTCTGAATGCAATTACGTGTAGGGAGACTTTGTTCAACAGCAACTCGAACACCCTAATTTACTCGCATGATGACTGCTGGTTCCGGTTGAATTCTGACCTACGACTTGCAGGGGAACAAATAACCCAGTAATTATTTGTTTATAAAAATATGGTAAACGACAGTAACAAAACAGATCTAATTTAAGAATAGTTGTTGCTTATCGTCGCGGTACAAAAACGTCGTAGTTTATATACCAATATAATACATATTATGCTTTTTCGGAACCTCAACGATAGTGTATGAAATACGTATTTTTTTCTCTATAGATTTTTTGAATTATAGAATTCAAAACCATATTAATCGTATTGGTACGAGTAGGTATAATGAACATTATTTCAAAACGAACTAATTCTGAGGATTTATTTTAAGCCAATAATATGGAATCGGATTTCCTGTCAATATGGTTTGAATGATTGTATGCACGTGCATATCACGTTTGAGTTGATGAAGTGCAAGGATTAAATAATAATAATACAATGAGGGGTTAGAGAATAGGTACTGCAAAGCCTGTTGGAGTGATTTGTGCTTGTGTATTGAACAAGTCACGCCTCCGTCGTCATAAAATATTTCAGCATTTTATTTCATTAAATTTTCATACCCATATAATAATTTTATATAGTAGTAGTGTACCTGTAGTACCTCTAATCCTAAAGTTAAGTTAAATTTCGTTCATTTATAAATAATTAAATAATAAATATAATAAAGTTATTATTGTTATTATTGATGATATAATTTATATTGCATAACCATTTACTTTTTTATTATTTTAAACCACCTAACTGGCTACTTATTTACTAAAAAATAAACAAATAACTTAAGTTAAGTTAAGTTAGTTGCAAGTTTTCAAAAAGCCTTTAACTTAACAGAGTTAAAAATAAATTAGTTTTACTATTAACTTTAAACTTTTAAAAATGTTTTCTATCGACTTAAATAAAGTCAATTAAAAATTATCTGTAACTTGTTCATGCTTGAACCGATAACTAGATGAAAGTTATCGCGGAACTAGAAAAATCAGTTTCTGGGATTTCTAACATGTGCTAATATTAATTAATGATCATCATCGCAACGATAATAATAATAAATATTATATTAATGTATTACGGGTATACCTACTCCCACGTCGAGAGTTTGGACTACGTTTTGAGGTCGGCTCCGTCTACCGACTGTCGGTCACGTTCCGCCCCTCTGACAATCGACTGGCAGGCAGGATTTAATACAATATATACATAAAATATAATAATATGATGATGTGTGCACGCGGTAATAACGAGACCGACTTGAGGGTTGTTCACTCGTGAACCGCACGCCGTTTGGGCGGACACAAAACATCTGTACCGACGATATAATATCGCGGCGGTGGCGGCGGTGGATCGAGTCTACCTGCCGCGTGCTTAATCCCTTTGTAGAGTCGCTTTTATAATACCAACCTACATAGAATTATACCACGGGCACCCGGAGAGACGTGTGCACGTGCACAAGTCTCTTGTCGTTTATAATATAATATTGTAATCATTGTTTCCGACGATCCCGAATTAATATTATATTTTAATACACTGCCTTTACCCCGCACACTATATATAGGTACACGGCTTTAAATTAATATAATGGTCTGACTACTGTACGTTATCTGCGGTAGCTGGTGCTTTCGGACGTCCCCCGCAGGTTTTCCAGGTGCCCGTTGTCGCCGCCGTGTCGTGTACCTACTCGTGTGCTTATATAAGTGTATATAATATACTTGTGTCATCGCCGATGGTCGGCCACGCGTCTCCTAATCAAAATCCGATCGCTGATTTTTGGCTAGATAATCTCCACACGGCACAGGGCGAGTGCAGTAAAATTTCCTTTTTTTTTTTGCACGTGTCCAGCCCCCGAGCCACAATGTGTTTAACAGAGTGTGCTACTCGCCACGCATTTGCGGTAGATCTGTAGGTTATATAATGACGTTTACTAGCTGCTGCGGCCGTCCGCTTCAAATTATAATATTTATGACTCTGTGGTGCGGTGTTATTCATGTTATACCGCGGTACAAAATTGACAACATGTTAAACTACTGAATAGGTACTACTATATATATTATGGGTATTGCATATATATACAGCGAAAAATATACTTACCGTCACATGAACATTCTAGTACAAAGTATGATGCTAAAATATGCAAACAGTTGTTATTCAGTTTTCAAATGTTTCCAAGTTTGTTTTAGGATCTTGTTTTATTGTTCAGCATTCACAAATTCTTTGAATTTGAGCTATTTTTCAAAAATAATAAAACAATTTATAAAATTTATAATCCATATATTCTAACATATGGACAGGTATGTGATAGACCATCGATATTCCCTTTGATGCACATTCGGAATAATATCCCATAACCATTTTTAAACATCTTAAAACTTGAATATTTAACCATGTATCCCTATAGACAAAACTATAATAATAATAAAAAATAAATGTTATCAAATAATAATAGTTTATTTTTTTTATTAGTTTTCTTTACTTATTGATCCAAATTTAATGCAAAAGACAAAATACATTTCTTAACATAATATTTTAATGATATAATTTTAATCATGCACTCAGTGAACCAAATTAACCGACGAACAACCAGGTATTACTGCTTTAGTATGGAACAAAATATAACGATGTATCGATACAAATAATATAGTTAAACAAGTATTTACTGACTTCGAATTTTTATACTTGTGGAGGGAGTCAGCTACGACTATCCCATTTCTCCTGCAGTGGGAATATTGGGATGATGGAGAAAAGTTTCGCTTTGAGGCTTTTTTATTTTTACATTATTATATTATTATACATCGACGTTTAATTAGTAGTAAGCGCCCACATGTGTTAAGTACGCGTCAATACATTTTTCGTGGATTACATTTCTGCAAACTATATTATATGAGAATGCAATATATTATTAAAAATCAGTTCAAACTTTTGTGAACAAAATACGTAAAACAAAATCAGTATGTATATCCTAAAAAAAATAAGAATATAATATTATCATAATATCATAATATCATATCGATGGTATATTATATGTAGTGGTTGTGGTGCGCTTAACCGTCCCATTACATCGCATACTACAATGTAGTCGCAACTAAAAACAAAATAAATATAGGATAGACCATTTTGTAAATAGTCGTTACACATTTAAAAGTAGTCAAGAGTTCAAGGTTTAGTGTTCAGGTATATAAAGTGTAATATGTATGTGTATTGATTGTGACTAGTGTATGGTTTATTGTACATTATAATATAAATTATAATACAATTATTATAATTGGATTTAGGACCGTATGTAATGTACAAATTAAATAAAATAAAAAAAACCAAAAACCGTATCGATAATTGCTTCAACATGCAGAGCAAATCTATATCAGCGTTTCCCAAACTGTTTCTCCTCCGGACCACATAGAGTATAATAAAAATGATGGCGAACCCCATAATGAAAATAATCTGACAATAATAAATAAAAATAATTTGCCGACTGCCTTCTGTACACATAGTTTTATGCGGACCTGCCATAGACTTTATACTGAGTATATCTAGTATAAGGTCTTTGGGACCGACACAGTTTGGAAAACGCTATACCTATGTTATCATGATAAAGTATAGTTAGTTATTATCACAGTTGTAATAGTTTTTTCAGTATGCCCAGTATTGCCCATCTCCTCCATTTCCGACCCATGTATCAAAGTTCTCTACTTCTTATTAGGTAATTGATTTTTTTCTATATTATACATGTGTTTATTTGATTGAGAGCCAATAAGAAGTGGAAAAGTACGATGTATAGGCGAAGTAAATAGCGGGGAATACTTATCAACTGTGACGACACCTATCATGCTAATTATATTATAAAATACGATAGTAAATAGTACAACGGCAACTCTCTAAAATAAACCCTTACATCACTTGTTTTCTTAAATCGACAGGCTGTTCTCGATAAAACGCTGCGCCCGGTGTCAGGGCGGTATCGGCGCTTGCGACCTGGTGATGAGGGCCAAGGACCTCGTGTATCACGTGGAGTGTTTTGCGTGTTACGCGTGCGGTGCGGTCCTGTGCAAGGGCGACTATTACGGGGTGCGGGACGGTGCGGTTTTCTGCCGCCCTGACTACGAGCGGCTCAAGCACAGGGACATGGCGTGCGATCTGGAGCCCATGTGCAGTCCCCCCCGGGCGGCCGGCCACCACTGGCCATCGGCGCACAAGGGTCGGCCCCGGAAGAAGAGGAACGTCCAACTGCTGTCGTCGCCCATGACGACGGCCGATTGCAACGGGCTCACGGAGCTCAACGTGCTCAGGATACCGCAGTCGACATTGGGTGAGTATACCTATTACCTCAGCTATTTTATATTTACATTGCACAGTCTCACACGCTAAATGTAAAGACAAGACCCACACATGCATACGATTTGAAAATTGTCCATTTTTAACTCCTTCGCAACCCCCTTAAGACGTTACCCCCTCTTGCGTCAGATAAGGTTAGATACGAGTTACAGTAAGGGTTGCCCTGCTATCGATGAGGGTCTCTCTAAAACCATAAAAAAATATTCAGTACATAATTGTTTGTTCAAACGACGGATTGTAATTATATGGTTGTATATGCATATATATATATATATATATATATGGCATTAATAAGTTTGTAACTATTTATATATGCGTGTCCGCAGTTAAGAATACATCTGCTGACTGCTAGTATTATTGGTTAATAACAAATTACAATTAGTGAATTTTTTTACCCATCCGATAATGTATAAATAATGTTTGATAAACTGTTTTTTTCCTGTGACTGTGACAATAATTTATCATTAAGAGTTATGAACTTATGGGGCATACGATAATTTTTTAACAAATATGTATATATGTTCCTACGTAATTATATACATTAAAATTATTTAAACATAAATAAGCAGCATACGTCCGAAGCCGAACAGGTGAAAGACATATTATAATTATGTATGATAAGAAACAGAAAAGCCATCTCATCCCCCCCCCCCCACAAGTATTTTTGCGTTGTACTAAAATATAGATAATACGAAATGAAGTATGCCACTGCATAGCTTATGACCTTCAAATTAGCAAAATATTCTTTAAAATTGAGTTTGTTATAATTTATATATCTATCATTTAAATTTTTACCAAATTTAAATTTGATATAGGTACATTAGATGAATTCTAAACAATTAAGTTTAATGAACTAATATTTTATGTAGACATCTAATTTTTTGTAACAGTGAGATACTATATTCTGTTCCATGTGTTTTGTGTCATTCTTACAACTGAGACGAGTATAAAAATAATGCTTGTTATTCTAAGAGGGAAATAATCGATTAGTTAAAATAATATTAATATTTCGTCTGTAATATAATACCTCAAAATTATTACAAAATTATTTTCTTTTAAACAATATTTACAAAAACTTAAGAATTTATATGTGGGCATTCTCAAATATTCATAAGTAACGTAGGTACCTATTGAATATTCTTCAATCCAAACATTATTTGCTTTTAATGGAAAATAAATGTTTTCCTTTGAATTTTATTTCACATATGAATCGTACAAATATCTAACACCTGTAACTTTAACTGCGTAAACAAAAACAAATAATGTATTCGAAATTCTGATCCCTACGTGTAAAATATTACAAATATACAATGATTAAAATTAAGTTTATGTGACGTTCATGAACTTGGCTCACTTACTTTACCCAATCCACTCCAGAGGTGTGCCAAAACATAAAAAATAATTAGCAAATAATAGCAAGTTACGGTCGTCATCCATATTGGATTCACATGGCCATATCGTTCAAACTTTTGCAAGCTTAGGTTAAAAAATAGTACTATTATTTAGTGCTGAAATCCAGAATTTCTGTTTCGTGAAATGTTCTTAGTAGGTAATTACTAATTAGTATTTGTATAAAGCTGTCAGCAGTTCTATAATCTATTTAAGTAGTTATCATGACATGACAAACATAATAATATATAAAACCATTAAAGCAATATTTTAAAGTTTGGTTTTTGTATGTATTGTTAATAACTTACTACTGGCCAGATTTAATATTTGAGATCATTAGATATGTAATTATTTGTAGATAATGCAAAAACACAAAAACATTAATTAGCAAATTACCTTATTTATATATAAGTGAGTAGAAAAAATAATAAGTTTATGCAAATAAAGATAATGTCTACCAACTCAGCATGTAAAACTATTTATTACTATCATTTATCAGACCTTATAATAATAATATATGCTTAAGATTAAATATCAAAATTCAAGCACATAAATTGCCAATCATAAATACATTAAGAATAATAAATACTTAATATTATACTACCGTTATGACTATTGATGGCATAAAATGAGACAAATTATTAAATACGATCGTGTTAAACGTATTAATTTAAATATTAGGTACTTTATAAACGCATTGAATAAATTCTACTTTGGTGGGCAGACTAACAGGTGAAGTACCTATACATTAGGCAAAAAACATAATTTTAATAGAGGTTTTATGTATGTAAAATGTTCAATGCCAAACACGTTTTTATAGAATTTACTGATTTTATATCTTGTTTACTGTAAACCCATCTACACCACTAATCTCCGTCTGGCTTGTATAGCAGTCGTAGCATAAATAATTTAAATATTATTGAGACTCCAACTCTCCGATTTTTGGTCCAATTAGTATTCTTTTTTCTATTATTTATATTATATAAATAATATAATGCAGTAAAAATAAATAAAAAAAACACACATTTTTGTTGAAGTTATTTTGATATTTGTTTAAGTTATATGGTTATGAATTATGATTAATGATATACATGAAATCATTAAATTAAAAAAAAATATATTAATTAAAACAAATTATATTTTATATTTATGCCTAATGTTATATAATATAACGTGTAGGTAGGTACATACAAATGTCAAGTTATTACATGTAGACACCTACCTGAACACCTGAGTATTATTAACTTTTTTATTCAATATCTCATATACATATAATAATAATATGAATAAGTCCTGACATTTGTTATTTTTATGTGTGTTATTCTAATTGAAAATTGTCCAAAATAATACAAAAATCAAAATACGACGTATCGACAAAGTAGTGTTGGCATTTCTGAGGTAAGCTCGATTCAACTTTTCCCCGTCACATATAGGACTTGTATAATATACGAATTTAAAGGACGTTGGCGGAAGATACATGTGAGGAGAATGTACAAAAGTTGATCGCTAATTATCAAAAATTGAAAAGTATATCCAAATGTATCTGAATCGAAAAATATGTTTATAATAATTTATAGGTCGGTAAGATATTCTGTACCACAAAAATCAAAACTTGATGAGTTTTTTTTTATAACAGGCTTTATTTTCCGAATAACACTCGTACATTTATAGTATTCATTTTTAATATTCAATAAATTGATTTGTAACTTGACGTACAAAAACAGTTATTGAGAAAGTAGTGACAAAATATTCAAATCGAAAGCGCCAAAAGATGCGAGATTATAGTTCATTATACGTATTATATTTTATTGGAATTGGATAGCGTTTAGTAATATTATAACTCTGCGCGATTCGTCTTAAATAGTTATATTACTAATTTAATCTTTTATTTTATAAACTGTTGGTATAATGTACAAAATATATTTCATCTGAACTGTAATAAATTAATAGTATGGAATGGGAAAAAAAAAGATAATTTGTTAGTAGCTAATTGAAAATCGACGCGACGCTGCGTACATAACCGCGGTATATATTGGAGTTCGTGGAACGCGCTGCAGACGAGGTGACGAACAAAATGGTGACTGGGGCGGGGAGAGGAAGAAGAATTTTTTTTTATCTTTTACTTTTTACCTACATCGGCGTACGCATATACATATAAAATGTATATAAATACGTGCTGCGATATAAATCACGTAGCGTTCGGAAATAAATTTAACTCGCGTCCGGTGGCAAAGACATATTGGCCTTCTGCGAAGAGCGCTCTCGAGCTCACTATAGTTCGCGCTCCACCGTTCGAACCAGTATAATATACCTACCGACTATTTATACAGAGCGATTCACCGAGCATGCTCGTGCCACCCCACTTTTTCCGTTAATTATGCGTTTATTCAAATTCCGATTTTTCGAAGTTTTGAACTATACCTACTTAAAGACCGCATATTATACTCGTATCTTCAAACGCATAGGTTTTTATGCCATCATTTATAAGGAATGTCCCGATACAAAATCAGTTTTTTTTTTTTTTTTTCAAAACAGAGCATCCCTTTTTTACTGTAAATCGTTAAATATATGATGATTTAGAAAACGTTGAACTAGTGTGTGAGGCGTGGTTCTACGCATAAAATATATAACACTATGTAATAATCAGCCAAGTACCGCCACTATTAAAATACACAAAAATTGTTTAAAATTAATATGAAACTATTATTTTTAGTGCGTAAAGTCTAATTTCACTGAAATTACTCGTAAGTACTTAAAATTTCGATTTAGATAAGGTGATCAAAATGTACGAAAAATAATAATAAGCTCAACAGTTAACATGTAGCAAAAAGAGAATGATTTTGCATTTGAAAAAAGTTACATATTTCCATTTGCATCACCGCACTCCTTAAATGCGAAAAAAACCTAAGTGTCTTATATGTATGTCCTAACCAAATATCGGAAATCGAATAAACGGTTACGAGGTTGAGCATTGTACTATCAATTATGCTTGTTGAATGAACACGACGATGACTTAAGATATGACCGTCTGTAAACGAAAAGTAACTTTTGTGCACCTACATAATAATAAGCACCGTTTATATAATAATATCGTGTATACTCGCCCGCTTATGTGTGGCGCCGAAGGAGGCGATAAATAAGTATAATATATAATACATAGTAAATAACCGAACACGAAATACTATATTATTATGCAATACATATACAGTCGCGGCGACTGCAATACCATATATTATACTTATTTTTATTGGATATGGTGCCACCATGATGTATAGTATATTTATACGTATAGTGTACCGGAGGGATGGTGTGTCGCATAAGAATAATATATTATCGACGAGAGACTGGAAGCGAAGATTGTACGTTTTTTATTTCTTTTTCATCTCTTCGTCTCCTCTCTCTCTCTATCTCCGTGTATATATATACATATACGCATACCCGGTGGCTTTAAGATAGAAACCGTGTCGTCGTCCCCAAGACGATTTATATGCAAGCGCGCGAGCACACACACACACACACACACACACACACACACACACACACACACACACACACACAGATTCACGCACACAAACGCGAACGATCGTCGGTTTTTATTTTATTTTACTCGGTCGTCGCCGCGCGTAGGAGCAGCAAAAACTTCTTCTTTACACTCCCGGGGACCCGAGACGACGACATTATAATAATATACGGTTTTACACGGAGCGCGTGTTGTCGCACCTCTAATTGGACGCCGCCGGAGGCCACCCAGAGGATGATCGCCGCCGCGAGCACCCGGTAGCAATGCGCTGCAACCCCGCGCGCGAGTATATTCTCAACTCGAACACACACACACGCACACATATTATACGGTCTTATCGGCACGTCCTGGTAATAATAATAATAATATATTTCATCCCCTGCCGCCGCCGCCGCTTCCTATTCGGAAGGTTTATTATCGTATACCTACCTATATATATATATATATATTATATTATTATCGTGTTGTATCTGTGTGTGGAAACCGTTCGGCGTTCGGTGTCAACGAAAAACGAACCCTTTCGACGGGAGACCCAATTAAAATTTAATATAGTCCTATACTGCGGGGGCTTCCGCGGGAATGTATATAATAATACTATATATATATATACTGTAGGTACCTATATATGTGACGTACTTTAGTGGTATACTCACGTGTATATTATTTTATTACCGAAAAAAACTACGATTCGTGTGTTATCTGTATACCTCTAATATAAAATATGTATGCACCGCAGCACTATATTACACATTTACACTGTAGCGGTGACTTAATCGAATCGAGGTGAACGTCCACAAAAACAATTCCGAATGAAAAAAAAATGGGTATGAAGACTTACAGGGTGATTCCAGTTTTTTAGTGAGCTGCAAAATAAGGTGGCCGTGCACCCTCCTGTATTAATAGGACGTTCCTTTACACGATATATAATTTATAATAATATTATGCGCACATTATTTATTATTATAGTATAACGTTAACAGTCGAATAACGATAATACATTAATCGAACATTTTCGTGTGGGATCCGAATTATCACCACAGACCACGTATAATGTGTTTTTGGCGCTCGTGTATAGTCGTAGGTATATGTAAAGGCAACAGGATTAAGTAAAAAAATCAAGTAAATTTTTATTTCGTAACGCGCGTAATCAATAACTATCTGTTCTCCAGTTTCGGTTGGAATACCTATACATAATATTGTTTTGTATATCCTCCACAGCTGTATTTTTTTTACTTACTATAATTTATTATGAACGATAAACCGAAATTTAATAAATAGTAATTATACGGTTATTGTTTCTAACCAATTCATACTATCGTATTTTTTAAATATGTGTAACATATTATAGGTATATTATTAAGTGTGATTACAACTAGGGCACGACTTGTATGCACTAAAAAACTAGTCAAATATTTATATGAAAATATGCATTATGAGCATTAAACATTCTCAGATATAGGTACTGTAAAGTATTATGCACAAAAAAAAAATATTGTAGGATCTACTTATATTTATACCTATACCTATTGGCTATTTTAGTACAGAACTGAACAATATTTGTCACTTAAATTTCCCATATTTCTACGACACATAAATCACCTATAGATAATACCAATTAAAAAGTATAGATACAGCCTTATATTAACTTATATAAACTGCTACAGTATAAATATTACGTATTGACCATAAAGATATGGTCTATACGACGACACTCACAATTTAATCAAATATTTTTTGACCTTTGCTCAAAAAAAAATAATTACCAAGGTACCATATTTTCATAGACAACATTTTAGCCGTCATAGACAATCGTATTTTTTACTTATACTTGGCAAACAATAAGATCAACCAGAAAAATACGCAAATACATGAAAGGCCTTGCACTATTTATAACTATATCAACACTTTTTAGTAAAATAAAAAATAAAGCCACACAATTCCTACAAAACATCTATACTTTAAACAAATGATCCTAAATTTTTTTTTTTGATTACTTACTAAACTTTGCGTAACAATTAGTATCAAAAATTTAAGAATTAAATATTACTGATTAAAAGTTGTAATATATAATATATATATAATTATCTCATGCCTTGGTTGGTTATGATAACTTTGTAATATGTACGGATGTGTATAGTAGGTACATAACTCTGATTTGTTATTTAAAGGTAGGTATTAATGATATTACCTTAACAATTTGAAGATTTTATGTAAAATTTCAACATCGTTGAAGTTCCCTTCATATCACAGGTATTTTAAAATCTAGATACAGTTGAACACTGTAATATTGCAGGTTCTTGCATAATATGTTGTCGCGGGTAGCATAATAAAGCTTATAATGTACATACATTATAATTACGTAATATTACACGACACTAATTATGAGTTTTCAATAACGTACTTATCTATATAGGAACAAATTATAATGCCTAATACAACAAACCAAGCACGTGTTCTTTACTATACAAATTTGTTTCAAAAAAAAAAAACCTTTGAACCGTTTTTCAACCAAATAGATCCGATTCGGTCATGCAAACTTGTGCATACATGTATGCACACTTTGGCCAAGTCCGACAACAATAACAATGGAGGCGACGTGTATAAATTATATACACGAACGAAAGTACGATGTGGGGCTGTCAACGAGCGAGTTGACATAAAAACACCACCTCCAAACGATTTCCATTCGTCGTTGGTGGATATAACGAGATGTCATTGAAAAAAAACCATTTCTAAGCATTTCTCCCCCCTCCGTTTTCCCTTTCGCCGTCGCTACACCACCCTTGTTTCTTTTCTTTCGCTCTCCGCTATCTCTCTCTCTCTCTCTCTCTCTCTCTTTCTTTTTTTTATTCCGTATATTTCCCGACCCGAACGCGTCGTCAATAGTTGTGCCCATTAACCTCGGCGGCCAGTGTTTGTGTCGAACAAATGTTTTCTTTCCCAAGCACACTTCTTATGTGCATTGTTTATTTTGGATTATTTCGCCGATGTGGGGCACCTGTCCGTCATTCGTCACTAAAGTGTATACACACACGTATATACGCGCGGACAGCACACGTTTTATTTCCGTACGATAGTTCAAAAAAAAAAATGTATGCCTACACGTATGATATGTTATGTATGTATATATATAATATGTAAACGAAAAGAGAACAAGCGCTTACAGAGAGAGCGTGTGAGTGAGACCGATGGAGTGGTGAGGGGGTATTATGTACAAAAAAAGACGGAAATCGACAGAGAGAGAAAGAGAGATATAGAGAAAAAAGAGTATGTATGACGTGTATACGTTCTGCAAACAATGGACGCCCCCGTGCCATCCAGATGTCGATACTCGTGGAGAAAGGGGATATATAAGTCCTGCAGCAAGTCCTGCGCGACCATGTGCGGTGGTTAAATGACGTTTCCTGCAGCTCCTAGAGCACTAGTCCACCTAATAAGGAATAAATTACTGACCGTAAGTCAGTTTTTTTCTTTACATTTATATTTTTTTAAGACTATAATATAATAGCGGATATAATACGGATACATGCGTACACATGCCTTTAAGTACAAAATATAATATATATTATAATATTATCTATACGACATGCGCTTGTTTATGTCTCCACTCATGCCAATTCGTTTGTTTTAACGGTAGATTTTGGATCTCAATGCACACGCGTCGCTTGATTAAATTATATATAATATACCCCAGTGATCGTGTATATATATTAAGCTCATTATCATAAATTTGACTAGACTTAATTAACCAGTCGTCTAAATAAATATGTATATAGTATAATACAAGGTGCATTTGCGTATTTTATATATAAAAAATATTTATGTCTAGGTAGGATAGGTAGGTATACTCAAGTAATAATTATTTTTTATCTTTTTTTTTACACGGGATTAAGTAGTTTTAGTTTCAGTTGTACAATTGCAGACAATTATCACCTTCTAAGTATATAGTATTAGTAAAATAATTACAGGCGAATCGGTTTTCTTTAAAAAATAAATATATAATACTTAAAAAAATGATGGTAATAAAATCAGTTTTACAATATTTTTAGCAATTTTTATCTAATTTATCTTATGCGATAAAAAATAATAGAGATAGATTCCAATTATATGCGATTGCATTTTGCACTTGTGTATTTTAAATTTCGAAACTGAATGTTTCACAAGATTTGAACTTGTTGTTGGACACTGTCGTTATTGCACATTATTATAATATTATACTCACGATTTAATAACCCAGCATTTTCTTTGCAGAAGTCATGCAAGCCACCGACCTATCTTCTTCGATGGAATCGCTGACTTACGAAACGTCCAGCCTGTCCTCACCAACAAACTCCTCGACGATGGGCACCACCGGTGGCATGTCACAGCAGCAACATCAACAAGCACGAACGAAGCGCATGCGGACGTCATTCAAACACCACCAGCTGCGTACAATGAAGTCGTACTTCAACATCAACCAAAACCCAGACGCCAAGGACTTGAAACAGCTGGCTCAAAAGACAGGACTGTCCAAACGAGTGTTACAGGTAAGGCAAGGCGACTCTTCAGATTACGTTACTATTTACAACAATACACAATGTAGGAACTGCAGTGTACACATTTAAAGTGAGAATTACGACGAGTCTCTCGTACATATATAGGTTTGGTTTCAAAACGCCCGAGCAAAGTGGAGAAGAAACATTATGAGGCAAGAGAACAACCAAATGGTGACCAGTTCCATGTCGAACCAGAACCAGAGTGCGCCGTCCGACCCCGATCTCATCAGGGGACACACCCAGACATCGCAGGGTTTAAACTTTGTTGATCTCTTTTGATTTCACATTCGTAAGTCGTAGCTACATATCGATTATCGAATCACCGTCGACACCATAGCTGGTTAGGTTATATTTTCGCCGGTCGGTTCAAGCACGTATTAGGCGTACCCAAAACGTCCAACATCAAAACACATTCAACCTTTCCTTATATTAACCGTTATTTTTTTTTAAATCCAATAGATAAAATCCTGGTGACGATACATGGCAGTGTCCACCTACGAACGGACGTATATATATTATAATGTTACATATTTACAATTAATCGTCTTCACTCGAATATTATACACAGGAGAACGATAAATCAATAAATATATCATACTACCATATTCTTACAAAATTATTTGTGCCGTGTCATATATAATATACACGGTGCTATATACGGAACCACCTGTAAATCGTAATTAATTTATAATATGTTTAACTGTTTAAGTGATTATGAGTATAAGAAAGAGAAAACAATTGTTCCTTAACTTCATGTATTATTATTACACTCTTTGTTACACATATAATACGTATGTATGTATGTATGTATGTATAATTTGTAATGCGTACATTGTAACATATTATTATTAATTAAGTTTAGAACGTATATATTATTATATGTTAAACACGCGTGTTATTTGAGCTGCCTATTCGCGTGCGGCGTATACTCAAAGGTTTGCTAAACACTGGCAATTAATTGTATATGTTTTCTTTTGTGCTTGAATGAAAAAAGAATAAAATTGAATGGTCGCCCTAATTAGTAATTAGTAAATACGACTCGTAAAACATTAAGTATACACCGCACGGCTAAGACTGGCAACGATAATACGTACGCGTACACGCCTTGGCTGAGAAGTTATTAAAAAAAAAACCCTGTCACCCCGCCGTAAAATCCATTTTTTTTTAAACATATTTAATAATTTAAACATAATATTTATTTTCATAATGTCGTGTATCAAGCGGTCAAGCCAAAAATCATTAACTTTAATCGTTTACAAACAAATTTGAGCCACTTTACATTGCGAAAACATGCTAAATAGTAAATACCATATCATAATAAATTTAATATTTATGCCGTTAATTTAACGAGCCTGAATTCAATAGGTGTTTGTATTTTGTATAATATATGAAAGGTAAACAACTGTTGTCGTCCTCGTCACTTGTCGATAATTTTAGAAATACAAAAACGTTAATAGTTAAATTATTCTCAGAATAAAATTCATATAAAATGATAAATTAAAAATATTTTAAATGATTTTTGTGATGAACACTATTATTATTAATACTTTGTTCAGTTATCAAGCTATTATTTCCGGTTTGAAAAAATAATAATTTAAGACCATAATATTTTATCGTAATCAGTCTACGAGAACCGCTAGTGCGTTTTTATTAACCTCGTTTTCATGAATTTTTATTTGTAAGTGTATTGACCAAGCGTAGTAGGTATACTTACATATGGCATGGTAAAACATTAAAAAAAGTAATTGAACATTTTAATTTTCGCATATATATTAAATTTTTGCAAAAATGAAATATTTAGTTATGTGAAAAATATAGCTTCAAAGCCAAAGGTACTGTAATATTAACTATTTGTGTATATTTTATTACACCTATAAGAGGAAGACAATTGTTATAAATAAATTACTGTTATTGTTTCGGGGCAATATCTTATTATTATTGCTTACAACACATGCAGATGAGCTATTCCAAAGCAATTGATCTTATTAAATTCTAGTCAATTTATTACTAAGCATATTAACTGTATATATTATATGAAGTTGAAAAAAAACACAACAATATCATAATATATATATTATTAGTGAATATTTTAGAGTTAGTGAGTAGATCCGTTATTTTAATGATAAAATATTATATTATATACTTCTAGGAGATTATAATAATTTATTATTATTATATTATTTACGTGTGTGTATTTATATATCATACAATGTCGATAAAAAATTATGTTCTCTTTTTGTTAAAAAAAATATAAATTTGAAAAAAAAACTATTTCAATAACTATATAATCAAAACGTGTTTATTTTCATGTACCTATGATTATATATATATATTCCTTTCTACCTACCCTTTGTTTAACTCCATACGTATTCTTTTAGAGGAAAACACTAATTTACCCAACATTTCCAATCCAACGTTTTTTTTTAAATTTAGTTGTTTTAGATAATTTCAAGTCAAGTCATTACAAAGAAAGATTTTTAAAAAAGTTATATTTTATTACCACGGTTATCATTATTTAAATGTTTACTCTTTTAAATGACTTTTTTAATTTCATATTCCTAAGTAGAATAATTGTCTGAGTAATACAATATTCAAAAAAGTCTTACTTCGAACAAGCAGCAGTTAATCAGTTTTAAGCTATAGCACTCATAACTTAAGTATTTAAGATTTTGTTGAACAAATTCTTGATGAATTGAAGGCTCAAGCCACTCCACTCGGCTCATCAAAACTTTAAATACGTAGGTACTTATAACTAATTAATGAGGTACTCGTTTGAAATTCAATTTTTGTGAATTGAATTTATCAAAAAAAAAATATTCTGCTTCGAAACATATAAAGTTAAAAATGTACGCGCAGTGGTTCAAAAAATAAAAACTAGGTCTTAAAAAAAAAAAATGATACTGAAAAAGATTTTATTTTATTTTTCAAAAATGTTGTTTTGTATAATTATTATAATATAATATAATAATAATAATATTATATTATTGTAAAAAAAAAATATTTCCAAAAAAGTTTTTTCACTTCGAGAAAATGAATTACAACAGTGACCTTGTATACAACACCATTGATATACTCACTGTATAGTATATCATATTTTATAATCAATGTGTCCTGTGGACTCTGCTGAGAACTGCTCAAAACGTCCTTACGCGACAATCGATATCGTATTGTTTCGAACGAAAACAGGCGTGAGAACCGTATAATATATATTGTTGTTATCCTCTACATAATGTAATAGGTATTATAATATCCTATTTATAATAATAATATTATTATACTGCACAAACGATCGACTCTGTTCGTCGGTGGAATTCTACAGCGAAACATTCACACCCGGATCGGTAAAATAATATATATACAGACAGTGGTGTCACGAACATTTTATTCTTAGGGACAAATACTGAAGCTATCCGTAAGTCGAAACCCACCCACCCACATATAGAACTAAAACCTGCTGATGCATATATATTATATTTTTTTTAATTATAAAATAAATATTGATATTATTTTACTATATCAATTAATATTAATGTATTAAGTTACCTAATATTGAACTTATGTTCTTTTAACAAATTTAACGTTGGCAGGTTAGTAAACTATTTTAATATATTAAAAAATAACAATATTAAGAAAATATATGTATATAATATTAGTAAAACTGTAAAACATAAATAATTCTACATAATATGACTACTAGACTACTTATGAGTATAATAACCTAGTTAACATAACGTGAAAAGTATTCCTCACTCAAAAACGTACTTGTAGGGAGGGGGGACTAGTGCGGTTTATTTCTTGTCCCAATATCAATCTGCGGAACTTTGCAATCTACTAAATTGACTCCGTTTACCTTAACAAGCTATATAAAATAATTTATAATTAATTATAAACATTAATTATAAAATGTATACAACATGTTTTAATATAATTTATTATTGTCATTTAAGTAATTTAATATCTGGCTAATAATCCATGAAAATAAAAGAGGTGCCATCGTATACACTTGCCACCTTTTCATCTTTTAGACCACTGTTTTTTAATTAAATTAGAAATACATTAACCCGAGCATAGTTACATAATATTTTAATTTATTGATATTTTTTATAGTTAATTACATTCAACCGATCTTTTCACAAAAAAAAAAAAGAAAAGATTTTAGGTGAAAGGGTTTCCATCTGTGTCTGAGAGTCTGAAAGAGAAAACAAAATATATTGCGCTGGCATCCTCTCAACAAGATATCGGCCGATAAAAAAACCACCCTGTATAACAAACGTGCCAATGCCAACATTATAACATTTATTATTCGAAATTACGTAATGTCGTATGATTTCCCAACCCTGTGCCCTGTACCACCCCGCCGACGCCGCCGCCGCAGTATCCGCGCGAGACCGTAAGACACACTCATTCGCGGTGCCCACACCACGAGAACCCATACACACACGCACGGCTATAATACGCATTGTGCGCACACAAAACATTATAACACGCGCGTCGTGTAAACGTAATTATTGTTATTTTAATATTCTTTGTGTTAGAAACGCGCCGAGTTCGAGTGTCGCAGCGTGCCCAAGCGTTCGAGTCGCGCCCCCGTAGTACGTGATTTTCCGTGTGAACACCTTTGCATTGGCGAATCTCTGACGGTATTGTGTCATTAAAAAATAAATGAAACAATCGTTATCAGACGACCGTCGCACAATAATTCGCGTAATCTCCGCGCTCTTATCTCCGCGTGTGCCGTCTAAAAAACCTACGCCATTCGATTCGCATATAATATTATAATAATAACAATAAAAAAAAAAAAAATATTCATATAATAAAGTTTCGTGTCACACGGTCTCTCGGAGGCGGCGGCAAAATTATTACCATTATTATTATCATTATCATAACGATCCCGTGTACGACCGACCTTGGACCTATATTATTATCATGTATGCGAGAGTGCCGAATAAATGGCACGTAATATTATGTGGAAATCACAGCAGTATTATGGGTAGGTACCTGCGTCATTATTTAAGGGTTTTGTTCTTCTCGCGTTTTCGGGTTCGTTCGATGTACGCCTAATATATATATATATGCTTGAAATCGATACATTGAACGGGAACAATAATAGGATTAATACACGGCAAACGTATATCGTACCTACCTGTTGGAACTTGGAAGTGTAGAGTTGGCAGTGTGCAGGTGGTGGGTGGACCGGGGTGATATTTTAACCCCCTGCAAAGCCTCTTTTTTTTTATTTTTCTGTTTTGATGTCTTCTTTAATAGAGTGTAGTAATAGTTTGTGTTGTTATTTTTTAGAAAATGCTGTATTACATATAGTGTAATGTCGGCATTGGCGCCCCGAGAAAGGGGGTTCAATCTGGGGCATTTCCCCTTCTGGCTTTTCGGGATTTTTTTTTTTATTTGTTAGGTATATTATGATAAATCATTATAATATAACAAATTGAAAGTGTTTAAACGGAATTTTAAAAACTCCTGTGAAGTTAAGTTAAGAATTAATATTATGTTTTGATTTATGTTGTAATATATTATGTATTAACAAACTGCCCCCCCTCTCCTAGACAAATGTCTGCGGGCGCCTATGTGTACATGCTATATACGCTCACTATTTATTATGATATAAACTTATCTACTGTCCACGA